CTAAGTGGAGATCATACTTCTTGGGCCAGCAGTGAAGATTAAAGATGTGATATAATAGGCTTAGCATGGAATTTGAAATCCTTCTCAAAGGGGCTGTGAAGTTCTGATTTATGGCCCTTTTTGCTGGTATGATTTCTTTTTGTGTTACTTCTTCAGTATACATATATATTCTCTCTTCCCTGTGCCCAATACCACTGTCCTCAATCAGACCCTTGACAGGTTTTGCAAACCTCCTGTGAATGTGATCAAACCCCACCTGTACTTACAAGCCTTCAAAGGCTCTCACTTCTCTAAAAGAGCATCTCTCTTTGCCTGTCCTTTCAGTGTTGGGGTTCCCTCTCTCTCACTCTCCCTGATGCTGTACTTTAGTAAGGATAGTGTACATCAATGTTCATAGCAGCACATTCACAATAGCCAAAAGGTGAAGACAACCCAAATGCCCATCGACAAGTGAACGGATAAACAAAATGTGGCATATTCATCCAATGGAGTATTATTTAGCTCTGAATGAAATTGTGCACATGCTACAGAATGGAAGAACCTTGGAAATATTATGCCAAGGGAAACAAGCCAGCCACAAAATAACTAATATTGTATGATTCCACTTATAGGTATATCATCCTGACTTAATGACAAGAAATCTGAAGCATAGGGAGGTTAAATAACTTATTCAAGTTTATCCATCCATGGCAGAACAAGGACTTAAACCCAAGGCAGTCAAATTTAAAGCCATATCCTTAATATAACTGTCTTCAGTAGTCCACAAGTACCTTATCATAAGACAAACTTTTCCCCCCACATTTTTAAGTTTCTGAGCTGGGGATCCATCTCACAATATATTTCCTAGTTGAGTGTTTTCCCTGCACCTTAGTTTGATGAATGGCGTCTGTAGAAGTTGGAAAATAAAGAATGCAGCAGATGCACAAAATCACTTTGTTAAAATGTGATGTGCCTTATGATGACCAAAAACTAGCCCTTAGGTACAGATCTAAATGAAAGAATCAGGAACTCAGGTGAGTTGCATGCAGGAGAGAATTTTCTAGCAGCCCTCACTGAGACACCCTTGAGGTCAGAAAACCTTAGCTATCGGAGAAGAGACTTGGAGAATATGCCTATGTGATTTTAGAAAGTTTAAGCCATTATGTGTACATTTTGGTTACCCCTAGTATAGCCACCTTTCTCTATGGCGTGTGCTTCTTTCCCTTCTCAGGGGCAATCTCTGTCCCCATTACAAAGAGCTGAGACCCTCTGTGGCCCCTGGTTCTTTCTATGGGCAGCACCATCTTGCCTCAACTCACACTGTTGCTTCTTCGTCAGTTCTACAGTTGCCCTCAGCAACTGCAGAAAGTAGGAGTGAACATCTTGGAGTTCAAACACAACGAAAGATCTAAATCCATGACCCCCCGTAAAGGTCCTAGGAGATGCTGTGGAATGCAAACTCCACTGGTGAATCAAATCTCTTGTGTTCTGAAAGAGTTATCTAACAACCTTGAATCATCAGGCATCATAACAAAGAGGTAGGCCAATTTCCCTGCTGTAAAACCTGCTTTTCATAAAAATAGGCATTCTTGATGTCATGGACAGAATTATATGACCTGAATGCAACTATGCAACAAAAGAAATAATAGCTAAGACTTTTTACCAGTGATTTTTTTTTCCCCTGGAGAATGTCTTGCATGTTCCCAGATTTAGGTCTGGAGAATTTACTTATAATAATAATTAGACATTACCATGACAATGGCAATGTTTAAAAATTGCTAGTAGCAAAAGAAGTCACTTCCCAAGTAAATATTTTTGTTGAAAAAAATACATGTAATTTTTCAAAGTATAAAAAATATATATAGTTACCTTAAAATATCCTAAAACATTTCCAATTATTTCTGATAACATAAATCAATAATTCAGCAGAAGCCAGGCATGGTGGCTCACACCTGTATTTCAGCACTTTGGGAGGCTGAGGCAGCTGGGTTGCTTGAGGTCAGGAATTTGAGACCAGCCTGGCCAACGTGGTGAAACCCAATCTCTAAAAAAAAAAAAAAAAAAAAAAAAAAAAAACATAAAATTTGCCAGGCATATTGATGCACATCTGTAATCCCAGGTACTGGGAAGGCTGAGGCAGGATAATTGCTTGAACTCAGGAGGTAGAGGTTGCAGTGAGCCAAGATTGGGCCATTGGAATCCAGCCTGTGCAACAGAGTGAGACTCTGTCTCAAAATAAAAAATTAACAGCACTAGAAATTTCAATGTGATGGAGTCACAACAAATTTACAGGTTGACGGGACTGATAGACCATCTTAGAAAGAAGAGATATGAGCTTCTGTTTACAAAGGGGCTTGAATTACTCAAGTCATCAAATATTCATGCTGTAAAAACTCTGCAAAATGCAAGTTCCTAAATAAAGGTCAAGAGTTTAGATGGCATTCGGTGAGTGATCCCCAGATGAGCACAAACAGTGTTTCTTTAATTAAAAGCAAGCAAAAATGATAACTAATTAAATGTCATGACACAACAGGAAAATGTGGGAAAGAAAGAGCTCTGTAGGAAACTGTACCAGAGAACTGGAATCTGAATTTGAGGACAGAGGCCTACATGGAAAGTTAAGGGCAACTTCCACTACTGCAGAGCCAGGTTCAACAATGCCAAATAGTAAAAAACTCTAGCAAAAATGCCTCCACAGAGGGGAGCTTTAGTGTCCCTTTAACGGGAAGGAAACCATAGTAAATTTAATTGTCAAGATACGTTACTGTTATTAAAAACAATAATGACTAGCACGGCATGAGTGCCTCCTCTGTGCCTGGGAGTTTGCTGAGCACTTTACTGAACACTATCTGTCTCACAGAACTAATCTTGTGTTGAGGGCACTAGCAAAGCCCACAACATCCTTTTTTAAAAAAATTTTTGCAAGAAATTGATATTTTGCCTGTCTAATAAAGCATTGAATGAGTCTCAGAGGAAAACTTGGAATGTTGCTGAATCGGTATTGTTTTTATCTTATATTATGTAACGGGAAAGAGTAGGCAGCACAGCAATGTTTTCGTTATTCAAAAGCTCTGAAGCTTTGGCCCTAGCCACTAGGATTCCACTGCCATGCCTTTTTAAAATAGCGGCCATGAGAAAATTCCACGAGGAGGAGCAAATGAAGGCATGTAACTTTAAGTGAGGTTGGACACAGGTCTCCCTTCTATCCTGAACTTGCTCTGAACCACTTGACTGGAGCATCTCCTGTCCATCCTGGGTGCCCTGCCCTGTGCAAATCTCCCTTGCTGTTTTGATCTGAACTTTGTGTCTGATTCCCTATCGTCACTCTCTGGGATAGTTCTACCCCGGTTGAAAACACACATCCCACTTCCAGGCATCTGCTTCATGTTTCCTGGATGATCCAGTAATGTGTTTGTTTAGCTCACTTCTAGTTGGGCTATAGATTTTGCTGGTGGCCTTTTAAACACTGGCCTCAGAATGTTTGTTTTTTTTAAGTTTTTGTCTTATCTCACTTCCTCTGAAAAGGCCTCACTTTTCACAGCTTGGCTGAAGCCTGAATAAGCAACTCTTCTGTGAGCCCTGCCTAGATATCTTGCCAAAATGTGAGGTTAAACTATTTGCAGTTGGAAAATCATAACCATTCTGCATTGTAGTATTTCGATCAAATGGCAAAGAGGGCAATCCAAGAACATGGACAAGTGTACAGTAAACTGCCCTAGCATGATCTGTTTGTCTCTCCCACACCCCCGTCTTACAAGTGCATAGACATGTGATGGAGTTTGCTGATTCTTAAATGCATGGGAAGCACCTGGGGAACTTGTTGAAATGCAAATTCCCAGACCACATCCTCAGAGATTCAGACTCAAAACAGCTGTAGAGGGGGGCCTGGAACTCTGCCTTTTTTTTTTTTTTTTTTTTTGATATGGAATCTCTCTCTGTCACCTAGACTGGAGTGCAATGGCACGATCTCGAATCACTGCAACCTCCGCCTCCCAGGTTCAAGCCATTATCCTGCCTCAGTCTCCTGAGCAGTTGGGATTACAGGTGCAAACCACCACTCCTGGCTCATTTTTGTATTTTTAATAGAGACAGGGTTTTGCTATGTTGATCAGGCTGGTCTCTAACTCCTGCCTTGTGATCCACCCGCCTGTGCCTCCCAAAGTGCTGGGATTACAGGTGTGAGCCACTGAGCCCAGCCAGAACTCTGTTTCACAATCCCCCCCATCTTTTTGATGAAGTGGTTTGTAGATGCAAACATGAAGAAAACCCCAGTAAAGCGGTTAAAATCAGTCACTCGAATATCTCAGATCTGTGTTTGATTCCTAGCTCAGCCATTGCCTAAATGAGTAAAACTTCTGAACTCCAGTTTTTCTCAAAAGCTGATAAAATGAAAACGTTTGTTTTCATTTCAATGGGCTTGACACAATGTGAACATTTAATAAATGGTAGCTTTAATTTTTAAATCATTGTTTTCTAAAGAAACACGTAACCATATCTACAAACGTTAATAGTCTTCTGTGAGGGGAAAGTGGTCTTCAGCTTATGTAAATCTAGAGGCAAAACTTGAATGAAAGCATGAAAGACAGAAAGCAAATGTCTAGCTCTGTGATTTCGATGATCTGTAGCACGTACCTGGAAAGCATGGTACGCTATCCAGCCCCATCTCCACTCAGTATCCTTCTGAGGTGTCTTAATTTCCTTTCTTCAGGGAGGTGGCCTTCCTGACCCCTATATTAAATACACAGCGCCAGTTTCTTCTTCCTGATGCCTTCACTACGTGTCATTGTTAATTGTCTTCTAATAAATAGTCTTCTTAATTAATAGTTAATTAATAGTTGATGTCTGTCTTCCTGCTAGTCTGAGCTCCATCAGAGGACGCGGTCTTCTTGCCTATACATAGCCTTATTTCCAAGGTTCATAGTATGAAACTGATATATATCTTTTGTGAGAATAAATATCCATAAGAAAGATTTTTTAGAAATTCAATTATGGAATGGAAAGTCTTGAGGGATACGGACTTGCCTGTCATAGCAGATCCATTCAAAGGGACCACTTGGATATTTTGCCAAGGAAATCAGTGAACTTGGTGACTCTCAAGGTTTTTTTTTTTTTTCCCCAATTAGCCAAATCGTTTTCTGGAGCACCTGAAGAAAATCTTGGATAGTTTCTTGAAGAAGGACAAAGTCCTAACGAAGAGCTCTGTTTTGCCATTTGCATGGAGCTAGACAAATTGCACAAGGAAACACCAGATGACAACATCAATTTTAATTAGGTCTCAGGGAAACACATGAAGGTGCTATTTAAATGATGTACTGCTTCAGCCCACAGGACCTCCAAATGGTGAAAGGGAGAATTAATGGGGCAGGGACAGAAGGATTTTATTTATCAATCTAGTCCCAGCTCTGCTGTACCCAAATGCTTTCTTCCTTATTCACATGGAGAAATTTTAACTTGGCATTAATATCTCCACACAGGAAAGGTGATTGGCCAGCTGAAAGAATTAAGCTTTTTACCAGACCTGGTCTCAAAAGTTGGAGAAACTGCAAAAATCACACATTATTTCAAGTCTGGAAAAGCTGAGCTAATATTTTTTCTCCATTGTCTTTCCTTTTCTGGTTCTGGCCAAAAACAGAAAGCCCCTTTTATATCCTTTTAAATGTGTTTCTTGGGGAAAAAAGATACTTTCCAAGTGGAAGTAGAAACAAAATAAATGCAAAATTATATTTCTTTTGGCATGCAGACTTCATGTGAATCTGCTCAGAAGGATGGAGTTTCCATTACTGCAAATAAAGGGCTACCTGGAAGCTTAGAAAAAGTGAGGTAAAGAAGATACATGATTCTTAGCCCTATGTTCTTAATCAATTTAGTTCTTATTACAACTTAACTGGATTTCATCAACATAAATCCCTCTGACTGAATATTTATATTCATTATTTCCAAAGAAAATCAGCAGAGTAACAAGGAATCACAGTTATATGTAAAGCGAGTGTACACGTCTAAATTATATCTTCATTTATTTGACAAAGTCATGGAGATGCCCTTTTAAAGAGAATTCTGCATGTTCCTCTATTCATTTACTCGAGACTATTTGTTTTCTTTCTTCTGAGAAAAGAAAAATATACTGAAAACAAAGACGAACTATTTCCTGGCAAAGTGCTAGCTGCTCCAGCAACAGACTGCCCCTGGGTTCCGGGAAGTCATTTTGCAAAGGCTTTGGACCCAAGTGGGTGAAAGCCCCTGGGTAGTTTTATTAGCCCATTAGGAGTTTCAGCTTTATCAGGCGGATCACTTGCTGTAAATAAAAAATTAAAAAGCCAGTGTGGGGACAATCATATCATCAGGCGGGAGACGACCAAAATCCATTTTATATCACACATTCAGTGAAGTGTGGGTTTAGCCACGGGCAAAAGATTACTGTAGCAAGTTGCAAAACATATTCCTCAGATGATATTCTATGTCAAAAAGCTTTTGCCCAATAACTCTATGCTGTTTCTACTTCTGGACAGTTACAATGTATTTTTGTCAGTTAAAGGCCCTAGGAATTCCTGAAATGACATATACCTTTTTAAGAAAACTTGGTTTTCCCCAAATTCATCTGATCCCTCTTTAGCTTATAGCACATCTATTAACAGTAACTGGCCTTCCATTGAAAAATAGTACCTTGACTTAAAAGGCCCTCTCCAACTCCCATCCCCTGACCCTTCCTTTTGTTTGGACTTTATTTAATGAGATGATGACCTGTGGTAGTTGTAATGCTTCCCAGTTCTTTATACGTTATGACACACATGGAAAAGGATAATAAAAATCATAGTAGTTGCATGCTGATGGCTATTAACATTTTTTTTCCACTTAACGTTTTCTTACTTTCTTTACTTGCCATAAAAATATTCTGTGAATTCCTATAATTTACAAATTTATGAAGTGCTTGCTGTCAGAATTGCTGGCCCAGAGGTGAGACCATTTCCTCTAGGGCTGAGGGGATCAATAGCATGCAGAAAACCAATGTACCACAGCTCAGCAGTTGGGAAATTCCACTTTGAGGAGGTAACAGATATACAGCGGTTGAATCCACCTGGCTGTAGGGAATGTGTGTGTGTGCCGACGGTGGAGTCCTCTCTGCTCACCATCGTTTGGTGTCTTCAGGTACCTACATTTTCCCAGTTTGAAATCAGATCTGGGCACTGGTTGGTGCCTTTTGTTTCACCGCCCACCCCACCCAAAACATTTTAAGGGGTACTGGTACTATATCATGCAAATGACTACCCTCATTTCCTGTGTTAAGTACATATTATTTTTCCTGTCTTGGTTTCTATAAGAGGCAGCAGAACAGATGGAGGAGAACTGGGGGATGATCTATCAGCTCTCCCTGCAACATGTGGAGGATTTTCACGTCCTTTCAATTAGGGGCAGGCTGTTCTCAGAGGATCCCGTCACCTTCCCCCACCCCACTGCCCTACTTACTTCCAAATCAGACAGCCAGTACAGTATTTGATTTCACTATCAGAGCTATGCATGCTGAGAAAGGGGAACCAGGTGGGTGGCCACTGGTAGGGGAAAGTTATATTCAAATGGGCTCATTGGAGCTGGTAGGATTCCAGGTGTTTTCCAAATACACATATTAACGAATACCACATTTCTTATTTCCATTTTGAGATCTCTAGGCTCCTTTTTCATTATTGTTTCCCAATAGAATATTGTCTCCTTTTATTTCCTTCAAAAGTAATCCATATTCATTGCTCATAATTAAAACTATACAAATGAGCAAAACAAAGAAAACAAAAATTGCTCATAAAGTCACCACCCAAATAAAATCTTAGTTAACATAATAATGTGTTTCTCCCAATCTTTTTCTGTGTATTAGCATTCAAACTTTATTTTAAAACATTGAAATATCTGTGCATAATGTATGATAAACATCATCTCCCACTTAATATACATCTCAATTGTCTTTGGAGGCCATGGGATATTCTTCTATAATATAATTTCTAGAGGGTGAGTAAACTCTCTTCTGTGTGTGTGGTGATTCTTTTTACATAATCCAAAGCTGTGACTCAAAGTTTGGGGTTTCCCCCTGTAATAAACATGGTTATAGTTAATATTTATAACTAAATCTTTGTGCACATATCCTTGATTTTATAGTATTTTTGCTTCATTTACTATAAAATATAACACACAGAAAAGTACACATACATACATTTTTATAGTTAGGTGAAATAATTATAAAAATAAATCCCAATATGATTACCAACTCCAGCTGGCAAAAGATTATGGCCAGCAGTTTGTGAGCCTCTCTCCATCAAAACCCCTCCTGTTCTTCTGGAGGGACTACTATTGTGATTTCCTTGTTTCCTTTTTAATTTTACCTCTTATTAATGAATCCCCCAAAATGTTCATTTTTAAACTTTTATGTATATGGATTCATATTTTTGTGTCTGGCTTCCTTGACTCAATATGTGTTTGTTAAACTTATCTATGTGGCTTGTTCATTTTCATTATTGCATAGCATACTATTGTATGGATATGCCATAATTTTTTCATTCTATGCAGGATGGGTATCTCAGATTTGCATGATTACAGTCTGCAATAATCCTGGGGCATGTGTGTACCTGTTTTTCTAAAGTATGCCCCCAAAATTGAAGTCATTGACGATAAGTTGTCTTCAGCTTGAGTAGACAATAAAAAAAAAAGTACCATTTACACCAGCCGTGTATGAGGGTTCCCAGTATTTTACATTCTCTCAACATTTGGTATTTTCAATTTAAAGTGGTTTGTCAACTGGTAGATGAGTAAGAGTATTTAATTTTGTTTTAATTTATGTATTCCATATTCACAGCAATGTTGAGCACACTTTCATGTAGAGCATTTATTAGTCATTTGAATTTCCTCTTTTGTAAAGAGACTGGAGTCGTTTGCAGACATTTTTCTATTGTGTTGTCCTTGTGATTTAGAAGAGTTCTTCATATCTTCAAGAAAGGGACCCTTTGTTGGTTATACAGGTTTCAAATATCTTCTCCCAAGCGATGGCTCATCTTTTCAGTCTTTTAACAGTATCTCTCTGATGAACACTTTAAAAATGTAGTAAAATCTATAACCTTTTCCTTAGAGTCAACACTTTTTGTGTTTTAAGACACTCTTTACTACCTTTCACTCATGAAAATGTTTCTCTGTATTTTCTAAGTTCTATAGTTTATCCTCTTCTATTAATATCTTAAACTCATTGGATTACTTTGTATATTATGTGAAAAGTAATTTTTTTCTCATCTTTTGAGAAATAAAATGTGTGAAAACAATTTTGTATATTGTGTAAAATTGATCTGTGATTTTTTTCTTATGAATATTCAATTTTCCTGGCAGTATTTATTAAACTCTGTTCTTTCTCTACCAAACTGCCTTGTAACTGCTGTCATACAGCAAATACCTATACACAGGTTTCTGACCTTGCATTGTTCCACTGGTATTTTGGCCTATCTCTGACCCCAGTTAATTCTAACTTAATAGTCACTCTTGATACCTGGTAGAGGATGTCCCCTTGTTGTTCTTGTATCTTACTTATCCTTTGAAACTCCATATACATTTTAGAATCAGCTTGTTGGGTGAAAAAAAAAATTGGGGAATTTCATTGTGATTGCAACAGAGGACAATTTATATATTTACATTATTGAGGCTCCCAATCTATGATCATTTACCTAGGTATTCTTTAATATCTATTAATAACATTTTATAATTTTACTCAACTCTTGCAACTCTTTTGTTAGACTTATTCTTACATATTTTTAATGCTATTATGAATGCTGTCTTTTTAATTGTTTACTTTCTGGCTTCTAGTATATAATACTATAACTGATTTTTGTGCATTGATTTTCTATCCAAATTTTATCTCTTAGTTAAAATAATGTATCTGAAGTTTCTTTGGGATTTCTTACATATAAAGTCCTATCATTTTAAAATGACATTTCTGGTTTTTCCTTTCTAATCCTTATTCTTTTTCTTTTCTTTGCCTCACTGCACTGACTGGAACCTACAGTATAATTCTGATTAAAAAGTGGTAATAGTGGACATTTTTGTCATCATCTTGATCTCAAAATGAGGATTTGCTATCAAGTGTAATTGTTGTGGATATTTTGTAGATCCCTTTTATAAGATTAAGAAAATTAACTCCCTAATCCCAAGTTTTGCTTCAGAATTTTTTAAAATTATGAATAAATGTAGATTTTTTCCAAATGGGCGCTCTGTAAGCTTAAAGATAACCTTATACATATTTTCTTTTAATATGTTATGGTTATCTATTGTTTTACAACAAACTATGCAAGTAGTGAGTGGATTGAAATAACTACCATTTTTACCTTTCACAAATCTGTGAGTAAGACGGTTCAGCAAGATGGTTCTTTAGCTTTTGGTGTTCTCTTGCTATTGCAATGAGACAATGCCTGGGGCTACAAACATCTGGAAGTTTAAGTCAGATGTGGTACTGTCCAAGATAGCTCATTACATACCTGGTGGCTTGGTAGGGATGGCTGGAAGCCTCAATATAGCTGGCATAATGAAATGACTGAAGCTGTCCTTCCCATGTAGTCTCAGGCCTCTTTTTCTCTATGTGGTCTCTACAAGGTCTTCCCAGCTTGATAGGTGAACTTCTTACATGGTGGCTAAGGGATCCCAAAGTGCAAAAGCCAGGACTGCCAAGCCTTCTTGAGGCATGTTTCTGGAATAGGCACAGCATCTTTTCTGCCATGTTCAATTGTTACAGAAGTCACAGGCCAGCCCATATTCAGTGAGGGAGGAACTTCATAGGAATGTGATGCCAAAGGTCACCTTTAGAGATTATTACAATGTATCAATGTGGTGAATTACATCAATTAGATTATCTAATGTCTATTAACCTTACATACTTGGGAAAAACCCAACATGGTCATTACATTGAATTATTTTTAAGTCTAATATATTACTTGATTGGCTTGTCTCGTTTTGATTTTTTTCTCATAATACATTTCAATAAAAATTATGGATTATCTTTGGCCTAAATAAAACCCAATATAATACTTGATATGGTTTGGCTCTGTGTCTCTACCCAAATCTCATCTTGAATTGTAATTTGAATTTCAATCTCCATGTGTTGGGGAAGCCCCTTCATGGGAGTTGATTAGATCTTGGGGGTGGTTTCCGCATGCTGTTCTCATGATCGTGAATTCTCAGGAGATCTGATAATTTTATAAGGGGTTTTCCCCCACTTTCCTCTGCACTTCTATTTCCTGCTGCCATGTGAAGAAAGACATGTATGCTTCCCCTTCCGCCATTATTGTAAGTTTCCTGAGGCCTCCCTAGCCATGCAGAACTGTGAGTCAATTAAGCTTCTTTCCATTATAAATAACCCAGTCTCAGGCAGTTCTTCATGGCAGCGTTAAAAGGGACTAATACAATACCCTTATATGATGAAAGTAGTTGAAACAGCAAGTTTTCTTTTCTCTGAATGTATGTCCTGAGACTAAATGGCTTTCATCTCTCCATGGAGGGGACAGGACACTGGGACAATTTCATTGCTCCCAGCCTGGCAGGCATCAGAATCTGAGAAGCCATGATTTCACTTGGTGACTCACTGTCATATTGGCACATCCTGTTCCCTGTTGATGGTGCCACCTTTTACACAAAAGCACTCCACATATCCTGCATTAGCAATGAGATGATTCTCCCTGGCTGCTCCTTCTTCTATGTGACCTCACAATGATTGCATTGGAAGGATTATGACAGCAGCTCCCTACAGTCCCATGGTGCCCAACAAATAGAGGGTGACTCAATGCCTCAGACAAGAAGGTAAATGTTTCTTTTCCATGATTATAATCATCACTCTTTCCTGTCCCCTCCTCCCTACAACTGCTGATACTATCTTCCATTATGTTTATAAAAATATTAAGGGGCATTACTATAAGGTGATAAGGATAATTAGTTACTATTATAATAGGTTCCATTTGAAAAACTATAACTTAAGATGTGCCAGACATTGCACCATATGCTTTACACATTGTGGTGGACAAAACATGGCCAGAGATTTATCAACACTTCTGCCATTGAGAGGTGAGTCTCTGACCTTTCCCCTTGGAGCTGGTTGAGCACTGTAACAGCAGTGAGACCAAGGATACAGAGGAAGTGATGCTGTGACTATTCCCAGGGCTTAGTAGACTAGCAGCTTCTACTTCCTTTATTTTGTAACACTCATTCAAAGAAAAGCCAGCTGCCATATCAGAAGTCAGCAACCTTGAGCCCAGCATGCTGTGAGAAGCCCAAGGTAGCCAAAAGAGAATACAGAGACCTAGCTAGACACCATCAGCTATTCTAGCCATCCCAGCCCAGGCATCAGACATATGAGTGAGGAAGCCATCAGATGATCCAGGCTTAGATGCCAACTTCCTGTAGCCATGTAAAGAACGCTAAGGGGGAACTACCTAGCCGAGTCTATCAACTTCCAGAGCTATACAAGATAATAGTCAGTTGTTTTAAACCACTAAATGTTGGGTTGATTTTTATGCCTCAATAGAATATGAGGATACTTGTTATTTCATTTTCATTAAATCTCTGTGATAGGGACTATCATTGTGCTTATTTTGCAGATGAGCAAACAGAGATTAAGTGATTTGCTCCAGTCTAGTTAAATTTATAATACAGCTGAGATTTGAACTCCAGCCTATGTGATACCAAGGCCTGCAGGTGCTTAGCAGGCATGGTGTAGTAGTTTTGATCCTTCCTTTAACAGATATAAAAGCGTATTGGTTTGTGCTCATAGGACATTTGTAGCCTGCTGAGATAAAAATGACAATAATGAGAGCAAATGAGAAAGTATTTGGTGAATTTGATTGATTTAACAAAAATGAACTGTGGTCCTATTCTAAGACTGAATCTAGTGAGGGAAACTTCTTGGAAAGTTTTTAAGGTTGTGAGGGAGAGGCAGTAAGGGAGAGCTCATATACCATGCTAGTTTGTCTCCCAAGCCCCATGTGCCTTTTCTTATAAATCAAAGTGCTGCCATCAGTCAATGGGAATTTTGATACTTAAGGTAATATCAACTGTCTGGATCTTTCTTTAGACCAAGTATTTTAGGGCTATCTTTAGAGAACAACATTGTTTGGTAGCTCTAGGTTTAGAGTATCACTGAATTCATTTAAGAAAACGCAAGAAGCCCAGGAAAAGATTACTTCAGGTGTAGTAACAACTAATAAGTGGGTCTCAGCTAGGATGCACATGATAATCACCTGGAGAGCTCTGAAAAATTGTGATGCCTTGGCTGCACCCCAACAAATTACGCAGGAACCTCTGGGAGTGGGACCCAGGCATCAATATTTATTTTAACGTCCCTAATTGATTCCAATGTGCTGCTGAGGTTGAGGGTCAATGCCCAGTGGACTAGATTTGGGAGCACTGCAAATGCAGTCCTGTAAGACACACACTCTCCAGCCTTCCTTCTTCCTATCTTAGTTTCCTCTCTCGGGCCCAGAAACTGACCCATTTATTCATGTGACAGTTATTTAGTGAACATTCACTATATGATAACTTGGAGTCATATTGATACCAACTGACATAAAAGATTATAGGAGGAGAAAGCAGTCATATTATGGATAAAGATGAGGAGTTTTTGTCGTGTTTTGTTTGAGGTGCTGTGGGACCTCCTGTTAAAGAGATTCAGAGAGTACAGGTATCTAAAGTTTAGAGTGAATGAATTAGATGGCAGTTTAGGGTGAATGAAAATCTTAAGCATGAATATGGTTGGTTTTGGATGCTGCTAGATATATCCCATTCCTGTAAGGAGTAGTTGCTCACCATGGACAGGGGTCCCACCACTAAGACAGTGTGAAAAAATCACATCTATGGGGAAGACGGATGATGTGTGCCATACAGCTAGAAAGAACTCCTCTTCCAGGCATTTCTCATATGTGTCCCCAAGAACAGTACCAACTCTGCTCCTCCCCCTCCAAAAACTCAAATAAAATGTAACTGAAAACCATTGCATTAGAATATAGGCTATTGTTTATGTGACTGACATGGCCGTTCATGTACATATCTTCCCACTGTTAAAGTTATTTAAGACCTTATCTCTCCTGCTTTCTTTTTTATGGTCTGTAAGGTCCTATGCAGTCTGCTTCTCAGCTATCACAGGATGTCATTTCCTTCTATGCTTTACTCCTCACACATTCCCTTTGCTCTAGCCACCCTGACCTTTCTGTCTGTCCTTTGAATATACGTAGCTCATTCCTATTTGGAGACATTTGCACTTACTATTCTTACTGTTTAAGATTTTCCTACCCCAGATCTTCCTGTAACCCTTTCTGTCTTAGAATTTGGGTGTCAACCCCAAACCCAGAGAGCACCTTCTTAGAGTGGCTGTGTCTACATACTATACTGACACTCTATTTTGCTTTCTTTATAGCTACGTTTTTAATACCTAAAACCTTTTTTTAAGTTGTCATTTTGTTTGTAGCACTGCTATTTCCACAAGGACGAGACTTTTGAATTTCTAATTCCTAATCCCAAATTAGTACATAGCAGATGACTAATAAGTAACTGTTGAGTGAATGAATGAATGAATGAATGAGAGAGTGAATTAATAAATGGTCTCCTCACACAGGAGAGAGGGGACCAAGAAAGGGAGAAGGAGAACTGGTGAGCATGTGTCTTACAGGACTGCATTTCCAGTACTTCCAAATGTGGTCTAATGGGCAATGACCCTCAACCTCATTTACACATTGGAATCATCTAGGGACCTTAAAATAAAGTGTTGATACCTGAATCCCACTCCCAATATTCCAGTGGGTCTCTAGCAGCTCTTCACATAAGTGAATTCTGAGCCTCTAAATCTAGAGCCACTAAGCAATACTAATCACTGAAGATATCCCCAAAACACTTTGTCTGAAATGAAAGATTCAGACTACTGCTGTTTACCTTAAATATCCAAGTTCCAATGACTAGTGAGAACTTTTTGGTTTATAAGAAAAGATATATGGAACTTTTGTTAGAGGACAAACTAGGAATGGCAAATGAGACAAATTCAGAATTTTCCACATTAGCGTCTGCCTTGGTCATTGAACATTAAAATAGAATAGGGAGAGTAACTTAACAGTCCTCCTGGGAATAGGAGTGGGTTTTGACATTTTGAAGGTCACATCTCTGTCCCCAAGGGAAGCACAGAGGAAAAGGAAACCAGGTTCATCTCTTAGTTTGTATGGGAAAAGTACCAGTGGCATTGATGGAACCTGTGGAGCTCCATGCTGATAGAGAAAAATATTAAAGCAGCAAAACTATCTTTTCAAAGGAAATCAAACCATAATCCCAATTTCTAAAACTGATCAAAGTGGAACAGTTCTGTTTGAAGTGGAGTTTGTAGCCTGGAGGCCAGCTCAGTCCAGGCTGCCTCACACAATCCCTATCCCCAGGTGGCCCTGTAAGACTGAAGCCTAAGGCGCTGCCAAATGTAATTTGAAAAACACTGTTCCAGACCATGCTTTCCAGAGGAGCAATTACACATTTCTCCTTGTTCAGAAAGCTTCCCATGAGAAAAGCTAAACTAAGGACCAATAGATAAGGGGTAGTGTGGCTTCTTCTGTATTAGTGTTGATCATGGTATTGAGATTAACCAGATTGGGCCCTTTCTAAGGACATTTCAGTGCACATGAGCATCATTCCCATAGAATGTCCCCAGCAGCCCTAAGCACATACCCTACCAGCTTAGCATCCATACGGAAAAAAGTAAAATGCAGATTCTGAATCAGTGGACCTGGGATAGGGCCCCAGCTCTGCATTCCCAATAAGGTCCCTTAGTGCTGCCATTGCTTTGAATATAGGGTTTCAAACCAGAATTGGTGCATCAGAATCTCTTGTGAGACTTATTAAAAATGCAGATTTTTGGCCCCATCCCAGAGTTTCTTGATCCAGTCCTCTGATTATGGGTCTGGAGGTTTTTGTTTTTAACAGGCTCCCAGGTTTTTCTGATATTCACTATATTTTACAACTGTACTCTAGCATGTGTTTACCTACCTAGCTTACTCTTGAAAAACCCAGGAAGAGAACCTGAGACTCAACAAATGCTACTGCTGGAATGGGACTTGGAGATCATCTAGCTTACCCTGGTTGATTAGAAAGCTAAGGTCCCAAAGGACAGACAATTCTGCTAAGTGCCCATCACCACCTGGCTTTACAGCAAGCAGACACCAGAATGAAAGCATCTGAATTTCTAATCCTCAGTTTCCTCTAGAACACAATTGGCCTGTGTTTGTCATTGCTTCTCTATCTGTGCTGCTTATGCGGCCAGAGACCTGTTTTCTGCTGTATTCTCAAAGTCCAGCCCAGTGCCAGGCAGAGGGAAGTAAATATTATTGTTGTGTACCCCCACTATGCTTGTACCTAATCAGTTACTCTAACATTTCTCATTAAAAGTTCTCAAGTTATAAGAATAAAAATTCTACAGCTCAGGGAAAACAGACAAAATTCAAAAAAATTTAAAAATATATGTTCCCAAGTAAAATAGGGAAGTTCTTATAAGGGTCTGAACGTATACGTAATAGTAAGCACTAAGAACATGGTCTATGTGAAGCAGAGGGGATGACTCTAGAACTTAGCTCTGGCTCCAGTACTTGCTAGTTGTGTAAATTTTGCTCAACTACTCTGAGTCTTGGTTTCCTCATGTGTAGATTGGAGACATCAATAGATCCTATGTCATGGGATTTTATGAATATTTAACTGGTTAATGTAAAATATTTAACATGGTGCCTGGTACACAGTAAGTGCTTAATCTAGCAATAGTCCTGTTGATTACAAACGCAAGATAATGATTCCATCAGTTATACCAGAAGCTAAAGTATTATGCTCCCCTTGCCAATTGCCTACCTGTTAGAACTGAAGATAGATCATCTCCGAAGTGGTCATGTACAATGTGTAGACCCCAGGATGGCAGAAAACAAATGTAGCTTTGCACAGCTTCCTACCAGTACCTTTTGAAAGCATAGCTTGTCACCTCTACAGGATGAAGTGGTTACTGAGATTCTGAGGAACCCAGTTACTGAGCTGAGTCACTCCTAAATGGCCAAGATAACAGGAGGGCTGAATTCTCCATGTGGGACTCTTTGGAGGGTCCAAATATTGACTAGCTAGCTTAGAAGCTACTGCAGAGAGGTGAGGCAAGGGCTTCTTGAGCAATGTGTTTCACTCTGTAGCCAGAGAGTAGAGGCAAGATATTTTTAGCCCAATTACTAAATGGAGAAATGTGAGTTTGAAATGCATGCTTCAGGAGTTCACTTGGGTAACGAGACTGTGATTATGACTCTCAGGATGTGTGTTTTCTTCACATGTTGGATTTTCAGAATAGTTCTGATTTTCAAATATTCTGTTCCATCATTCTATGAGTAAAATTCTATTTGAGCAGATAATCCTGATTCTATAGAGAAGTGGTTGGGAAAATACAGATATCCGATGAAAGACTTGGTGGTTAAGGAAAAACTACCACACGCTATAAATAGGTGTCATCCCCTTTACCTCAGTGATGAGTCAGATTATTTTTCACTTGCAAGTGACATGACAGAAACTAACTCCAACTGGGTTTGGCAAAAAGGGAATTTACCAGCCTTGTGACTGAAAATTCCGGGGGATGCATGGCTGGCTGGATACAGATTCCCAAACAGTGATGCAGCCGACTTGCCTCTCTTTACCTCTTCACTCCTTCCTCTGCATTGGTTTCCTTCTCAAGCAGATTCGTTTTGGGGTGTCTCCAGCAGCCCTGGTCTCATAACCTGTCAGCTTAGCTTCCACAGACAATGAAAGTGACTTTCTTAATGACTTCAGCAAAAGCTCCGAAAATTCCCTCCTGGCTGGACCTGGGTCATTTGTCCCTCCTACCCCCACCTGCTGAGGGAATGGTTTCTGCAACACCTTAACACATGAACTAGAAGATTCCCCAAACGACACTGAGGTTTTGATATCAAAAAAGGGACAGCGTGAACACTGAGTAGAGAAATGTAATAAATGTTCTTCATCCTTTCCCTCTGAGTTGGGATTCTGCTTCCCACTATTTCTTTATGCTTACTTGTTCTAGAATAAAGTTCCTCCACACACCATTGTCATCTGCCTGCAAGAGATCTACCTCTTCCCCACAAAGGATATTCATTTGGCCTCCCTCTAATTTCTCTGTCTGTGCTACAGGAACCTCAGTGAGGTCTTGGTTCTGCCTGTTGACTGTCTCTCCCCTTGTGTAAGATGTTCTTTTGCATTGGCTCCCTTTCGCCTCCTCAGTCTCCATAAAAGTTTGTCACTAAACTCCTGCAATCCTTTTCTAACTGTGGAAGAAAGGAAGATGCCTGTAGCTGCAGGCAGCTGGGAAGAGCTGCTTTTAGGATTTCATGGGGGAAAAAATAGACACAATTTTGCTACCATATGTGATATCTCTGGCAAACTGCAGAATGGGCCTATGGTTACTCTTAGCTCACCAGATCAAGTATTCCCAAATGATTTACCTGGATCCAGCTTGCAAATTGTATTCAGAGAGCTAATTAGATCTGAATTTGCAAATGAGACCTCTGCTACCCTTGTGTGGAACAATTTGCTTTATTAAATGAGAGGTGATATGTGTATGTTATATACTTAGTACGTTAAGATTCACAGTCACACAGATGGTGGAAGATTGCCCAGTACTTAACATGTAGTCAAAAGGTTTCAACAGGGTTTCAGAGAGCAAAACAGGGTCCTTTGTATAAAATATACTTTTCTACCCAGCACAGCGCATCAGAGCTTCCTGTGGGATGGATTAAACAGCTAACATTTATGGACTACTTGTTGTGTCAGACACTAGGCAGGACCCACTCACTTCTCCAAAGCCCTATAGGGAAGGTCCTAGTACTATTCTCACTTTTCGATTAAGGAAACTAAGGCACTATGAGGTTAACTGAAAGCTGGACTGTGAGGAAGATTCGGGCCATCAGACTCCAGACCCCAAGCTCTAGCATACTATGTAGGTCTGATAGGATGATCATCTTTATGTAGAGATGGTCGATGATTACCTACTTTTTTTAATTTAATTTTTTGTAAAATATTTATTATTATGCCTCCTCTAAGCTAGATATTAGATGTGTTCAGTGCTCTGAAAATTTTTGAGAAGTCCCAGGTAGCACTTGAGATGAAGCAATAACTAAAACCTATTGAATATGTATTAAGTATCATGCTTGTGTTAAGCACTTTACAGATTTTTATTCTCTCATGTATTTAACCCTCCTACAACCTTTCTTAGATACTCTCTCCATTTTAGAATAAGGAAACCAAGGCTCAGAGAGGAGAGAAAACTTGTTGAAGTTACCCAGTAAGTAAATGGCAGAGCTGGGAGTTAAACCCAAGTATTTTGGCACCGTAGCCTTTGCTTTTGTCTTCTGTTCCACTCCACACCCCACCACACCAACCACATCCTACTGGCCACTGGCAAGGACCAATGATGCCTTGTAGAACCCAATCAGCTTTCCACTCAGTATTCCTCAGTCATCATGCAAGAGTATTTTTCCTTTTATTTTTTTTTCTGAAAGTCATCACCTGGCAAAACTTTAAGTGATAGGTGGCAGGTGGTAGGTATTTCATTTTTAAATTCAGTTGCAAAACGAAAAAAATGTTCTAAGAGTGAGACTTTTGTCACTGAGGAAAGTGACACAATGCTGCAGTATCAGTTCACTTAACAAATTTCCTAAGTGGTTACCAGTGCCAGGCTCTGTGCCAGGTGTTGGGATGCATGTTAAGACACAGGCAGTACCACAAGAATGCAATTGGTGCTAAGTTTTAAAGCAGAGGGAGGGCCAAGGTGCCTTAGAGGCCTGTTCTGAGCTACCCACAACAGCCAGCAAACTGGGTGACCTACAGCAGGTAATGGAAGGCATGTTATCTTGTCAAAGAGATCACAGTTTTCAAAGTTATGTGTTTAGATTAAGAATAACTCTGGTGGCAAAATTTTAAAAATATAGTCTATCAGATATTTAAACAAATAATGGGGTAACTAGGCAGTTGACAACATTGATTCAGTTGCTTCACAATACCACCAGGTCCTTCCCATCTGTCTACTCTAGTCATGAAGTCCTTGCCTATGCCTGTGTCCTGAATGCCATTGCCTAGGTTTTCTTCTAGAGTTTTTATGGTGTTGGGTCTTATGTTTAAATCTTTAATCTATCTGGAGTTAATTTTTGTATAAGGTGTAAGGTAGAGGTCCAGTTTCAGCTTTCTAAACATGGCTAACCAGTTTTCCCAACACCATTTTTTAAGCAATCCTTTCCCCATTTCTTGTTTTTGTTAGGTTTGTCAAAGATCAGATGGTTGTAGATATGTGGTGTTACTTCCAAGGCCTCTGTTCTGTTCCATTGGCCTATATCTCTGTTTTGATACCAGTACCATGCTGCTTTGATTACTGTAGCCTTGCAATATAGTTTGAAGTCAGGTAGCATGATGCCTCCAGCTTTGTTTCTTTTTTTTTTTTGCTTCTGATTGTTTTGACTATGTGGGCTCTTTTTTGGTTCCATATGAAGTTTGAGGTTGTTTTTTCTAGTTCTGTGAAGATGAGGATAGCATCAAATCTATAAGTTACTTTGGGCAATATGGCCATTTTCACGATATTGATTCTTCCTAACCATGATCATGGAATGTTTTTCCATCTGTTTGTGTCCTCTCTTATTTCCTTGGGCAGTGGTTTGAGTTTCTCCTTGAAGAGGTCCTTCATGTCTCTTGTCTACCCTAAATATAACCATTGTTTTTTCATAGTGATGTGTTTTACCTCATTATCTTGGAATGGGTGCTGTAGCTCCAAACAACATCAAGGTAGGAAGTGGGCAACAGAGTGGTATTGGAAAAGGTCTTTTCTTGTAGAGGCATTCTCTTTTTCATTAACAAAGAAAAAATCTTTTTCCATCCCAGAAGACTTTCTTCCTATCTAATTGGCCAGAACTGAGTCACACGGTGATGCTCACCTGCAAAGGAGGATGGGAAAGGAGCAAGTGTCCAGCTTTTTTCCAGTCTCTTTTGTAAAGGGTGGACAAGGAAAATAGATATAGCTGGGTTATTTAACCAGTAGTTTCTGCCACAGTGTGAAAGAATGTGGTATATCTGAAGCATCTTTAACCACATAATTATAAGTTCTGTGACGACAAAAACGTTGGTCAGTTTATTAGAGTTAATAACATAGAAGTGGGTCACATGTTAGAGGCTGGGAAATTCTTGCATTGTTACTCATGAGTTTTGAAGACTCTCACTGGGGACATTAATAGACTGAATATTGGGGACTTAGCTGTTCCTGCTAGAGTTGTAAAATAGCAGAACATTTTTTCATAACCTAGGACTGAACATCTTCCAAAATTAGTTTCTAGAACGTTCCTTCAGACTGTGCAGCAATTTCAGTTAAACTCTATGCAGCTTTTAGAGCTTTGTGTTAATTATAGCTTAGGTACTGTGGATAGCACTGACTTTGTAATTTGTGCCAGAGTGCCGCAGAAGTCCCTAATGGCTTCCCTTGGCTAGGAGAGGCAGTTTCCTGGCCCCTTGCACTTCCAGGTGAGGCAACGCCCCACCCTGCTTTGGCTCACCCTCCTTGGGCTACACCACTGCCTAACCAGTCCCAATGAGATGAACCAGGTACCCGAGTTGGAAACGTGATATCACCCACCTTCTGCATTGCTCTCGCTGGCAGGTATGCACTGGAGCTGTTCCTAGGCAGCCAGCTTGCTGGAAATTTCACCAACTTTGTAATTCATGAAGCTCAGTGCAAAATAACACCTTGGGAGCTCTTGTTCAAAAATTATTGGGTATTTAAAGATGGAAAAAGTGAAGTAGTAAACCAAACATGGGACCCTGTGCAAGTGTAGAAACTGCACATCCATGAAGCTGGGCTGTCAGAGGGCAGCTGGTTCATAGGTGAAGTCTTGACTTGCAGGAGTGACAAACTCCAGTGCTTGGTTACAAGTGAAGGGGTCTGCTCCTCAAAAGTATGGCATGGTGGTTAATAGTTGATGCTTTCAAACAGGCCCACTCTGTATTCTAATTCTAATTCTGCTACTTAATTGTGCAATGATTTTAGAAACTTGTTTAGTCTTTCAAAATTTTAATTTCCTGGCTGGGTACAGTGGCTCATATTTATTATCCCAGCACTGTGAAAGCCAAGACAGGCCTTGAGGCCAGGAGTTGCAGACCAGCTTAGGCAACAAAGTAAGACCCCGGGTCTACAAAAAATATATAAAAATTAGCTTGGTGTGGTGGTGCACACCTGTAGTTCTTAGCTACTCAGGAGGCTGAGGTGGGAGAATCACTTGAACCCAGGTTGATGCTGCAGTGAGCTATGATTATGCCCCTGCACTCCAGCCTGGGTGACAGCCAAGACCTTGTCTCTTAAAAAAGATTCCATTCCCTCTCTTTTAAAAGGTTGATAGAAATATCTCCACTATATATTATTGAGAAGAATAAATTAAATGATAGAGGCTTTTTTATCATAGCATATGCCTAGTAGATACTATACTGAACCCTCAAGGAGGGGTTGCTGTGACCTTATTTGCTGACTCAAAAACTCATTGTACCATGTTAGACAGGGAGAGATTCTCAAACATTGAATTCACAAGAGAATGATTTATAAATTGCAGTGTTCATTTATTCTTATGTAAGGAGTTGTCTTGACTTTGGAAATATTGTTTAGATTAGTAGGTTGCTGTCTTAATACACTATCCTTATTTTCCTCAGATGCATGTGTCCTGAGGTTTCCAAGGCCAAATAAGTTGAAATCCTTTGGATTTAGTCAAGGTGCTTTTTCTTTTTGCAGGACTTGTCAGAGCCTTAGGCATGTTTATGAGTTATCTGGATTCCCAAGAGGATTTTCAAACTTACCTAAGACTGTGTTATAGAATAAATATGGTGATTAAATCTAATTAGCATTTAACATAAACAGGGTAGTGCTTTGTATATGGACACATGCATGCATCAACTACCATTAGCCTACACAGCAGGTAAATTTAGAAAGGATTTGAAGCACCCTTAGCAAGAATCTAACTGCAGAGGTACTCGGACATTTTGAATGTCACCATTATAATCGACACCATAGATTTTGTTAACTTGCACAAGGAAAATTCAAATTTTTTTATTGTTAAAATATATAATGGTTAATTATGTTGTAGGCTGGAATAATTGCACAGCTCCCGCCCCTTTTACAAACAAAGTGTGTATGTAAATCAGAAAAGCCTAATCTCTTTATTCAAAGTCCTGCACTCCCACTTCATGGAAGACTCTATCACTTGACATGGTCCAGCCACCAGAGAGTCACCGTCTCAGTCTTAGGCAGAGTGAACATTTTCTGCAGGGGCTTATGCAAGATCCTACAGACATTGCGGGACTTCCCTGAGCTTAGAAGATCATCTATGCATTACTGTTGTATTGTGCTTAATGGCTATTAATATATGTGCGTGTGCTAGAATTTCGATCCAAGACATGCTTCCATTATGACTTCTTATCTGGAAGGAGGATCAAGAGGTGGAGGGTACATCTGAAGGCTGAAAATATTTATGAAAACAACCCAACTGTTTTACACAGCCAAACGGGCTTAGGGAATTCACCATGGAATGCTTTGGGTTACAACCCATGGAGCTAGTGTTCTTAGGAACACACTTTGGAAAAGTGTGACGTTAACACAAAAGCACAGAGTTAATCTCTTAGGAGCTCTTTTCATCAGTCTGGAGTAGACTGGAACAGTTGATCTAGTTCTTTGCTATTTAGGTTTTCTTTTTCTTTCTAACTTGTAATTGATAAGGAAAGTCTCAGGCATCAAAATGAAATCTTGTTTAATTTTGCACATAAGGTAACTTGAGGAAATTTGGGGAAATCAAAGACACAGTCACTCTACTTGTGTACTAATAATCTGTGTGGAAAATGAAGCACTTAGACATCAGTTGGGTGTTTCTTTCTATGTGTCTAAATGCTTCTTATTTATAGAATGACATTTAGATAACTGCCTAAAAATTTTACTTTCAAAGGTATGATGCTGTAAGACTCATCCTAAGACAGAAAGTCCTTTGTGGTTTAAAAAAAAAAAAAATCACTGCTCTTCTGTGGCTAGCACACATTGAGTGATCAAATGAAGAACTGTATAGAATAAATATAGTAGTTGACTTCTGCTAAAAATGTTTTGAAGACAGGAAGTGGGGCCTTTCTGCTCTTTGACATACAAAGCACATTGCTTTCTAATGGATTCCACAGCAAAAGCAAAATCCAAACAAAGCAGCATCTTTTGCTCTAACCTACATGCAATGTAAGTGAGATTCCAAGTATGCAAATAGTGGGAGGAAAGAAATGCATTTTCACTACCCCAATTATTGCATATGCTTGAGAATATGAATAGTAATTGCCCTTGAATTGGAGGATTAACGTGCACTACTTTTTTTCTTTTTTTCAGATATTTGAATCTGTCTGATTTTTATTTACTGTTTCTTTGATTCTTTTTCTGTAAAAGGTATTGTGGCCATTGAAATAAAAGTTCCCTCTATCCAGGCCAGCTGTTTCTTTCTAAATGTCAGTAAGACTGTCTCATGTCTGTCATGAACTCAATTTTAAAGTAAGCCATAACTTCATTTATTCTTTTGGTCCAAGTGTGAGTAAAATTGGTGCCATGTTACAGAAATTTCTGCAAAGTGGGCACTCCAGAACCCCAGTTTTAACTCTGAGGCTACAGACCTGGACACTCAGCCCTTCCTCAACACCATCCTTTTCCTGAGCCCTTACTATGAGTTAGTGTGTAAGTCTAGCTCCTTCACTTCACCATTAGACAGGGACTTTGTCTTACTTGTCTTTGTGTCCCCATCTGCTTCTCCCCAGGACCTGAGCCAGTGCTCCATCCCAAGTAGACACTAGATATTTGTTGACTACTTCAGTACTTCTGGAGGGACCGTTCAGGGCACTGCTGAAAGAGTGGGGAAAATAGCTTTGGAATCACGTGTGAGAAAGGATGCTTGGTTCTTCAGACTGGAATGAAGTAAAGTGGGAGGATAAAGGATGTTTGAATAATCTGAGGCAGAGAACACTAGGGAAGGAATGCAGTGGAGAATTCTGTGATTTGTCTTTGGAGTTCAATTTATCAAGACTGTTGGTCAACCTCAAGGCATTGAAAGTAATACCGTCTCGAAAACCTTAGACTGCACTGTCTACTACAGTTGTCAGTATCCACAATGTGGCAATTTAAATTTAAACTAATTAAAATTCAACAAAATAAAAATTCAGTTCCTGAGTCATACTAGCCACAGCCCAAGTGCTCAGTAGCCATGTGTGTCTTGTGACTGCTGTATTGGACAGCACAGATGTAGAACATTTCCATCAACTCAGAAAGCTCTGCTGAACAGCACTGCTCTTAGGGATGATAACATCTCCATTTCATTTCACCCCTTGTTTATTTATTCTACAGATATTAACTGAGCACCTACTTTGTTCCTGTCACTGTACTGAGAAGCGGCTGAAATGCTTAAAAGCATAGGCCCTAGAGCAACCTGGTCTAGCTGTTCACTCATGGTGTGACACTGGGCCAGGTCACCCATCTTCCCTGTGCCCTAATTTAATCAGCTATAAAATGAAGATATTAAATTTATCTACCTCATAGGGTTGTTGTGACGATTAAATGACTGTGTGTTTTTGCATGTATGTGCACATGTATGCCTGTGTATATAAATGTATATACGTGTATATGTGTATGAATATTTTGCATAAATATGTGCACGCATATACATATATATTCATACGTATTTTAAAACATTTCTGGCACATACTCAGTGCTTGGTAAGTGGGAGCTCTTACTATGTCTAAGTGTTTCAGAGTTCTTAACAAAACAACTATTCGGTTCTTGCTGCCCTGGAGTTTGCCATCTAGTAGGAGCAGCAGAGAATAAATCATTAAACAAATTAATAATGACAAACCATGACAAGAATTGTAAAGGAAATGAATTGGCTGAAACAATGAGGAAAAGCCACCTAGAAAGCATCTTAGAGGAGGTGACATTTAAGCTAAAACAAGAGGAGAAGAGGAGAAATGCCAGCCATGCAAAGGGAGGAGGAGAGAGAGTCCTAGGCAAAGGAAAGCACACTAGCAAAGAGGATCATGTGACTATAATACAGCAGCCAAGGGAGGGGCTTTAGATGAGACTGGAAGGAGGGGTGAAGAGCAGCCAGCTCCTACAGGGCTGAAGCCAGGGCTAAAGCATCTGCACAGGGGAAATATACACACAGTAATCACTCAGGTGGTTGTATGAGGCAAAGATTAGAGGGGCAGGGAGAGTGAAAGCAGAAAGACCATTAGAAGGCTATTTTAATAGATCAAGTGAGGGGGAATGATTCAGAGTCAGTAAGTCATGGAACTGGAGAGAAATGAGCAGTTTCTAGATATATTTGAGAGATAGGCCCAATAAAACTTTCTGATGGATTACATGAGGTTGACAAGAGGGAGGCATTGAGGCTGATCCTCAGGTTTCTGAATTGATTAACTGGGTAGACAGTGATTTCATTTACTGAGACAAAGAAGGCCCAAGAGAACATTTTTTAGGAAGGAAAACCAAAACTACTTGATGACAAGTAGTCTGCTATGTATGAAAATCTGGTGTCCAGATGAAAGGCTAGGTTA